CTCAAAACGAGACAGGAACGAGCTAAGAGAGCAAGGCGAGAGACGGCTAAAAAACGATGTTTTTAAGTTATTCCAGAGGCCTCAATGCGTACAGAAGAGTCTTTTAAGTAGATTTCCTCTTTTTGTGAGTGTTGGAGAGTATTTGGAAAGTTTGAACGAAATCTGACGGTGGAGAGCGAAAATCGCGTAAGAAATGGGCAAAGCGAAGCACGATAGGTTCCGGCCAGGGATGCCCGGAAGTTGGTTTTAGCGCTCGCCCAAAGGTGGTACCCTCCCCACACACTCGGCTCGCGGAAGACTCTTGTCTCCCGAAGTGGGTGGTTGCACCAAGAGACTGGGGGGTTACCTTTGCAAGCGTTTTCGTCTCTTATTGCTGTCAAACGGACGCTCCGAACAATGACTACCAGCCGCGCAGTAGGTAGATAGTGCAAAACATGTACTTATGTACGTGAGAGGAAATGCTAAAGCCAAGCATCTCCCCAGTACCATGAAGCAGAAGCATTAACTGCGTCCGTCCAAGACGTTGACGCATCGTAGATGCGGTACACCCGCTAACGCCACTGAAAAGAGTGGATAAGGCAATAGGTTTTCGGAGAAGCGGTTCATCTAGTCTCCTCGCGGACCCTCTTGAACCGCACAATGTTATGGTGAGGATACTTCGCCAGACACTCCCACGAGATCAGTCTGGGAAATCATATGTCAGATATAACGCATGTCTCCTTCGAAAAGGCTTTGAGGCATTATTTGTGAATAAAGACGTCGTATTCTGAAAGCACACCTATTACAAGAGCTACTTAGGGTTTGCAGACTGCCAAGTACAGCGCGCTTATCGGGCAAGAGGCACTGTGAAAGGTATAAAGAGAAGAATGACAAGATGACCAATCGTAATATCCTACACGAGGAGACTGCACTGGCGGTAGACCGTCTCTTGTGACACTGTCTGTTGTGAGTGGGCGCGCGCTCTTCGATGACTAAGCGAGCAATTTCCACTCGGCTCGGGCGATCCGGATTTCCACAGGAGACGTGAGTTGCTCAAAACGAGACAGGAAAGAGGTAAGAGAGCAAGGCGAGAGACGGCTAAAAAACGATGTTTTTAAGTTATTTCAAAGGCCTCAATGCGTACAGAAGAGTCTTTTGAGTAGATTTCCTCTTTCTGTGAGTGTTGGAGAGTATTTGGAAAGTCTGAACGAAATCTGTCGGTGGAGAGCGAAAATCGCGTAAGCAATGGGCAAACCGAAGCACGATAGGTTCCGGCCAGGGATGCCCGGAAGTTGGTTTTAGCGCTCGCCCAAAAGTGGTACCCTCCCCACACATTCGGCTCGCGGAAGACTCTTGTCTCCCGAAGTGGGTGGTTGCACCAAGAGACTGGGGGGTTACCTTTGCAAGCGTTTTCGTCTCTTATTGCTGTCAAACGGACGCTCCGAACAATGACTACCAGCTGCGAAGTAGGTAGATAGTGCAAAACATGTACTTATGTACGTGAGAGGAAATGCTAAAGCCAAGCATCTCTCCAGTACCATGAAGCAGAAGCATTAACTGCGTCAGTTCAAGACGTTGACGCATCGTAGATGCGGTATACCCGCTAACGCCACTGAAAAGAGTGGATAAGGCAATAGGTTTTCGGAGAAGCGGTTCATCTAGTCTCCTCGCGGACCCTCTTGAACCGCACAATGTTATGGTGAGGATACTTCGCCAGACACTCCCACGAGATCAATCTGAGAAATCATATGTCAGATATAACGCATGTCTCCTTCGAAAAGGCTTTGAGGCATTATTTGTGAATAAACACGTCGTATTCTGAAAGCACACCTATTACAAGAGCTACTTAGGGTTTGTAGACTGCCAAGTACAGCGCGCTTATCGGGCAAGAGGCACTGTGGAAGGTATAAAGAGAAGAATGACAAGATGGCCAATCGTAATATCCTACACGAGGAGACTGCATTGGCGGTAGACCGTCTCTTGTGAGTGGGCGCGCGCTCTTCGATGACTAAGCGAGCAATTTCCACTCGGCTCGGGCGATCCGGATTTCCACAGGAGACGTGAGTTGCTGAAAACGAGACAGGAAGGAGGTAAGAGAGCAAGGCGAGAGACGGCTAAAAAACGATGTTTTTAAGTTATTTCAGAAACCTGAATGCGTACAGAAGAGTGTTTTGAGTAGATTTCCTCTTTCTGTGAGTGTTGGAGAGTATTT